TTATTATCATGAAACTAGTCACAACAGCACTAGTTGAAAGTCAGGTGAAATATTTAGTAATAGTTAACTTTATAACTTGGGGAGATAGATAGGACTCTAAATTATTTTGAGTGGTTGCCAAGTTCTAACTAATTTTTGACCCAAAGGCTAATTTGTTCATTGTAGGCAAAGAGTTCAACTTAACTTTTTCCAAGTTAATGAGTGTGGGACAGGGATGGGAATTGTGAACTTCCCAATGCAGTTACCTCCTCATCTATGGCATGGTGACATATTTATATAATTGTTGTACTTAATTTTTTCAAACCAAACCTAGAAATGAGACATCAATGCCTGTGAAATGCAAGTTTTGGAAAAAAAAAAAACCTTCAGCTGGTTATAAGGCATAAGGTTCATTGATTTGGTTTTCAGCCTTTTAAGCAATCATTTTTATGGTTGTAGCTGACCAAAAGGAGATTTGGTTTGTAAAACTATTCTTCATCACAGAAGATCTAACTGCTTTTGCTATTTTTAAATTTTAAGCATTTATTTCACTAGCTAATTGTGAGAAGCAATCACAAATTTTAGAGATTTAGTTCACCGACTGGGGAAGTGGTGCAACAGATTACTAGTGGATCTAGGGAACTATAAGGACTTCCGAAGGTGTGATCTATTAACTAGGCCTTCGTTGAACTTCGGCCCTTCTCTCCTTTTAGGAGGATCAATTCGTGGATTGTGGTTTTTTTTTTTCAAGAATAAAAGAAATGCAGTTATAGATTTCATGGTCAATTTGATGTTCCAGGATTTTGTAATTGTATGATATCTAATTTCTGCTGTGTCGTGTCTTAAGATAAAGCTCTTTTATGATAGCCTGCATATGTATAGTCAAGCAATTTCATGCCCATTCTTGAAAATATAGTGGTACTGCTTTATGTTGTTAAAATGAAATCACTGTTTAGCCTGCGTGAGGCTACATTAATGATGTAAACAATTGTTTTTTGGCCTTATAACTGAGGATTATTTTATAAATCTTTTCAAGCCTGCACTTTAACGTAATGACTATTTCAACATGCGCCTTGATACTAAAATGCAAGTTTTTAAAATCTCCATTGGCCCCAACATACTAGATATCTGGCTTCGCCCCTGCTGGTTGGAGTGGTGATATCATAAACCAACAAGTTCCTTGTAACAACCTATTTGCAAATGTCATTGTCATACAGTCATCAACTATTATCTCCTGATCCTCATGCGAAACATATTGAAGTTCCTTGCTTTATGCAGATGCTGAAGATGGAGCGCAAGGTCCAATCAGCTAGGCGGCATGAGTCGATCTATTGGCATTTAGCTTCACATGGTGTCCCAAAGAGTTTACATTGTCTTTGCCTCAAACTGGCCGAAGAGTATGCTGTGAATGCCATGGCACGTTCTCATTTACCTCCACCTGAATTTGTTTCTCATCTCACTGATCCTTCATTCGATCACATCGTTCTTCTAACTGACAATGTCCTTGCTGCCTCGGTCGCCATCTCATCTACCATCAAGAGCTCAGTCAAGCCAGAGAAATTGGTGTTCCATGTAGTGACTGATAAGAAAACCTATACTTCAATGCATGCATGGTTTGCAATAAACTCCGTAAATTCAGCAGTCGTGGAAGTCAAAGGATTGCATCAATATGATTGGCCTCATGAGGTGAATGTTGGAATTCAGGATATGCAAGAGATTCATCACCTGATCTGGAGCCATAAATATGACAATTTGAAGGACATTGAATATAAGGAAGAGCATGAAAGGAACTTAGAGATTCTAAACCTCAGCTGTGTTTCCCTTTTGAATCATCTGCGCATATACATCCCGGAGGTAACTATTCAATTGTTTCATAGTACTCGTATGCATCTTTACGGATGACCTTGAATGTGGGATATTCGGTTAAGATTGATCTATTATCTGATTTTCATGGGCGCACAGCTGTTTCCAGATTTGAACAAGATTGTGTTCCTAGACGATGATATTATAGTGCAACACGACTTATCATCTCTATGGGAATTGGATCTCAATGGGAAAGTTGTCGGTGCGGTTGTTGACTCATGGTGCGGTCGTGCCTGTTGCCACGGTAGAAAATACAAGGACTATTTCAACTTTACAGAGCCAATTATATCTTCAAACTTGGATCGTGATCAGTGTGGGTGGTTATATGGGATGAATGTTTTTGATCTCCAAACATGGAGGAAGACCAATATCACTGCAAACTATCATCGATGGCTTAAACTTGTGAGTATTTTTTGCTCAATTGTTTTAATGTGAGTGATTAGTTAATGCCTCAAACTACAGAACAAGACATTATTCATGTAATTACATGCTGAGAAGTATTGAGTTGCTTAATTTATTTTAGAATGAAACTGGAATATTGGAAAATTGAACTGACAGAACGTAACAACCTACAATATACAAGAAATTTCAGTAATTCGAATAGGGGCCAAGAATAGAGGGTCAGTTCAATGATTATTGATTTAGAGATACTTAATTCTGTCCTATTCTACAAGTGTTTTTAGTTTGATAATCCTGTCATTGAGATCACTGCATGATTCCGGATTGTGTCATGATTATCGTTCTAATTTTAGATATGAAAATATAACTAGCATTCTTTGTTTTGGTAACTCTGATTTTATTTTGCAGAACCTCAATTCTGGATTGACATTATGGCATCCTGGAGCACTTCCACCTGCCTTGCTAGCGTTCGAGGGTCACGTGCATACCATTGATCCATCGTGGCATGTTGCTGGGTTAGGCCATCGATTTCCACAAGTTTCCCAACAGGTATTGGAAGCTGCATCTGTTATCCATTTCAGTGGACCCGCAAAACCGTGGCTTGAGATTGGGATCCCTGAGGTACGAAGCTTGTGGAATCAACATGTGAATTTCTCAAATGAACTTATTAGAAAATGTAGAATAATAGGGTGACGAGGAGGACAACTTTCTCTCACTCGGGACGTATTCGTTCTGAAACCAAACGCAGAGGCATAGTTTGAGACAGAGGGAAGAAGGTTTTGCCTTCAGTCTCTGCTCACACTTAGCTCTGTACAATATGGCATTATGATACCTTGTCCATAACTAGAAAGTAGACGAAGGTAGCATGCAATACACAATAGATTTAGGATCATGGATCTAGCTCCACACGTTATTAGTACAGTAACAATTCAATGATTATATGTTATACTTTACGTAAGCCTACATGTGCTTTTCTCTATGGGATCATGATTTATAGTTATTTGGACCACAATCTACAAATTTAGTTTGGGATAAGCCAGGGGAATGGTCTTAACACAATTTTGCATGTCATTTGCTCAGTGGGCACTTGGGTGATGAAAATTCTAAAGTGGTCATCCTCTTATCCCGTGTGTTGAAAATTGTTCTCCGAAACACTGGTACATCTGCGTCGAGAAATTTAAAAAAAATGACAGCTTTGAGTATGAGACTCTTGTCACTCTGTATGTAGTCCAACTCCTTGTGGAAAGACCATTTTTTTTTTTACTCAAATTCATAAAGTTTAGGTCACAACCATATATGCTGGATCATAGATATGAATCGGGTTGCATGATTCGAAATGAAATGGATTTGTAATTCCTATAGTCCAAATTCTTGACTTCAAATTGTAATTCAACTTAAATCAACCCATTATTCATGTGATTCCAAATTAGAACCATAATCCCAAATTGTTCCCCTTAGACAGTTATTTCTTTGTTTTTTTTTTTTTATGATTTTTAAACTTATTTTTTGATTTGTTGTGATTTCTTTTTTTTTTTCCCTTCCCCTTAAGGGGTGGCAAAGTGATTTTGTTACCTATTTCATTAATAATCTCAAATTTTTTGATCTATCACGTGCATTTGCAATTCATATAATGGTATTTAATACTCTTAAAATGTGTTCTCGTGTTTCAATTGAACACTTTTTATGTTTTTTTGATTATTTTCAAAGGAAAAAATTATTCTCTTAATGTATAACTTATATATCAGCGCACTAATGTGCGGAACAAATTGACGCTTCCGGAGCGAAATTGTCACAAAATTTCGTGCTGTTCAATTCGCGAACTCAAGTTAATAAATTCGTTAAGATGGTGGCAGTGTCAGGATTTACGTCTTGGACTACCTGACACCCTTTCTTTTTTTGTCAATCAAGCATTTCTTGTACTGCCTTTTTCCTTTTTCGGTTTTGTATCAAAAAGTAAAGGAATTAAACAGTTGATATTTGTGCATAAAAAATTTACGATTAGTTTCACCGATTTTCTTTAAAACGTGGTACCTTATTTCCAAAAACAGTGACATTTTACCTCTTTAAAATGATAACTTTTTCTTCAAAAGTGGTATCTTACCCCAAAAAAATTGACACTTTATTCCAAACAGTTATAATTTAATCTTAAAAAATGGTATCTTTCTCCAAAAAAGTAATATCTTATCATAAAAAAAGTGATAATTTATTCTCAAATAGTTATGTTTTACCCCCAAAAAGTAGTAACTTACCTTCTAAAAGTGATACCTTATCCCACAAAAATGATAACTTACACTCAAACAATTATAACTTACCTCCAAAAAGTGGTACTTTATCTCTAAAAAATGATATTTTATACCTAAAAAGTGATATCTTACCCCAAACAATTGAAATTTACCTTCAAAAAAATGGTATTTTACCCCCCCCCCAAATAATTGTACCTTACCCCTACAAAAGTTATAATTTACTCCCAAAAAATGGTACCTTACTCTCAAACAATAGTAATTTACCCCACAAAAGTGGTAATTTATCCTTAAAAATGATAATTTACTCTCAAAAGTGATAACTTACTCCCAAAAAAGTTGTATTTACCTTCCAAAAGTGATAGTTTACCCCCTCAAATAATTGTAACCTACTCCAAAAAATGGTAAGACTGGTCATGACAAACTAGGACCAATCCTCATTTAAGGTAAGACCGATCTTGACCTAAGCTAAGACCGGTTGTAGTGATTTATTTTAGGAAAAATTTTACATCCATTTTAGTTTATCATATCTTCAAGGACATTCACTCTATTATCTAAAACATCATTGACACCCCCATTCTAGTTTATATTTAAACATCATTGACATCTCCGCTATTAAATCACCATTTCTAACCCAAAAAAAAAAAATTCATCGAAAATACTAAAATTGTCTCCACATAAATCTCAAATAATCTTTTTACATAAAATTATATTAAATTTTGAACTAATTAAAATTTATTTTTTTACATATTAAAATTTAAGCCAATTTGAGCTCCACTTGAGTTGTTAACACCGATTACAATTTGATTTGAATCAATTAAAATTTGTATTTTTTTATTGAAACTTGTGTCAATAAAAATTTAATTCTAGTTGATTAATTTTTTTTTACGTATTAAAATTTATATTTTTATGTATCAAAATTCGGGACGATTAAAATTCAATATCATTTGATTAGAATTTGATTTAAGTCGATTTAAAAGTTTAAGCAATTCGAATCGAATTTTAACCAACTCAAATTTTAATATGTATAAAAATATTATTTCTAATCAACTTGAATTTAATACATACAAAATAAATTTTAATTAGTTTGAATAGAATTTCAATTGATCCGAATTTATGTAAAAAATTTTAGAAAACAGATAGATATGTCTATCTAGAGAGTGTGAATGAAATTTTTCCAAAAATATATCATTGAAAATTTAATAAAATTACATTATAGTTAATACCATTAATAGACATGTAATATTAGTGACGATCCCAAAAATAGAGGGGATATTTTTGAAGATATGATAACCTAAAAAGAGTATAACTAAAATTTGCCCTTTACCTTAAATTAGGACCGTGAATTACAACTAAGTGGTCCTAATTTATCTTTACGGATCCTAATTTATAATTACCAGTCGTGATTTTATATCAAATTATGATTGGCCATGACAAATCATGATCGATCCAATAGAAACTCATATGCTTTTTAAAAACACTTTTATCCTATTCATGTTTTGTAAGTTTGATCTCTAAAATATCAATTTTTTTAATTTGACCTCTAAAATATTCAATTTGTATTTAGAAGATCCAATAAACATTCAATTTATTAAATCAACATCAAATTAACATGCAACTTTATCCAATAAATATTTAATTCATCAAATCAACACAAAATTAATATTAAATTCAACAAATAAACATTCAACTCAATCCAATATAAATATTCAATTCATCTAATAAATATTAAATTCATAATAATTAACACTAAATTAACATTCAATGCATCCAATTGATATTCAAATTCATCCAATTAACACTAAATTAAATAAATGTACTTAAAAAATTATTCAATAAAGATTTAATTTATCAAATCAATACTAAAGTAACATGTAATTTTGTCCAAATTAATATTTAATTAATAAAATTGACACAAAATTAATCAGATTAACATTCAATTTCATCTAACAAACAATTAATTCATCAAATTAACATTTAAATTCAATCACTTTGTGGAGCATGTATGTAAGGCACGAATGGGTCAAAAATGAGTATAGACTTTCGACTTAATACGTATCCATGATTAGTGCTTAATTTTTTAAATTGTACTATGCCTTGGACCATGGACCATGAATTATAGAATACGAAACAAAAGATTCAAATTAGGATATCTGACGTGGGTCATTGCTACTCTGTTTGAAAGCTGTATCCATTTCCAAATGGACGTTGTAACCAGTTAGGTGCCACATAGGGGAGTCTTCTTTCAATTCAAAAACCAGACTTCTACGCGTAATCTTTTTTGGCTTCCCTCTCCACTTTTTTCCCATAAACTAAGTTTGCCAGCTCTACATCTCAGGGATTTATCCACTATCTAGTTGTCTCTCTCTCTCTCCCCCTCCTTCTTTCCCACTTCCTTTAGAGTAAGGTCAACACCCACCTGCCTATATAAGGCCTCACAAGCCAATCTCAAAAAAGACACAACACAACAGCTCTCTCTCTCTCTCTCTCTCTCTCTGTGCACGGAAAAATGGCTTCCTTTTCCTCTTGTAGAGCTTCATCAGTGCTTCTATTGTCCATCCTCATGACCGCTGTACTTGCAGTCTCAGCTGACAATTTTTACCAAGATGTTGACATCCCTTGGGGAGATCAACGGGGTAAGATACTTGAGGGCGGCCAACTTCTCACACTTTCTCTTGACAACTATTCCGGTTCTGGTTTCCAATCTAAGAACGATTACCTATTTGGAAGGTTTGACATGAAAATCAAGCTTGTATCTGGCAACTCTGCTGGCACTGTCGCCACTTTCTTTGTAAGTCTCAATCTTTAATCCACATCTCCTTACAATTTTATTCCTACTTGTTGTATAAATGTATAGTTTACGTTTTTGACTTTTATCTTCCGATACAGTTGTCTTCAGCAGGCTCGGCGCACGATGAGATCGACTTTGAGTTCTTGGGCAACGTGTCTGGGCAGCCTTATATTGTCCACACAAATGTTTACGCCAAAGGCAAAGGGGACAAAGAAGAACAGTTTTATATGTGGTTCGACCCAACAATGGCTTTCCACACCTACACAATCGTTTGGAACCCTCAACGCATCATGTAATGAACATTTTCCATTAATTTCATTGAGGAATTCCCAAGCCTCCTTTTTTTTTTTCCAATTATGTATAAAATTAGTAATCCTTTTCAGCCTCAAAAACTAACGTTTTGGGCTTGTGTTGGGTGTGCATTTCAGATTCTTGGTGGACAACATTCCACTAAGAGTATTCAACAACAATGAAGCCATTGGTGTTCCCTTCCCCAACAACCAACCCATGAGGGTCTACGGCAGCCTATGGAATGCGGACGATTGGGCAACGCAAGGTGGACGGGTGAAGACCAATTGGACACAAGCTCCTTTCATAGCATACTACAAGAATTTTAATGCCAATGCTTGTTTTCAGTCGGCATCTGGATCATCAGCTTCAACTTGTGGTTCTTCTTCTAATTCTTTAACCACCCAAGCATGGCAAACTCAAGAACTTGATGCTAAGGGCAGAAATAGACTTCGATGGGTGCAACAGAAATATAGGATTTATAACTACTGTACTGATGTGAAAAGGTTTCCTCAAGGGCTCCCCGTCGAATGCAAGCGTTAGAGGCTCCTCTACGACTCCAGATTGTTTCCTCTCTTTACTTGTAATTACAAGTTTATTCATGAGTATTCATTATTCATTTTAACAATCAAAATAAATATATTTTTTATTTATTTATTCATTC